AGAAAGACAGCGGCCATAGCCGCAGAGCCGGTACCACGGAGTGACGAAGTAGGAGGGAGAAGGACAGAGGGGAAGAGACCGAGCAGGGAGACAAGCAGCCATAGCTAGGAGGTGAAGAGGAGGCCGACAAAAAAAAAAAAAAAAAAAGGAGGAAGAAGAAGACAGCGGGGGAAAGGAGGCGAGGGAGGCAAGGAAGAAGAAGGGGATTGGCGAGGAAGAAGAGCCGGCAGCCATAGCTGACCGGGGAGTTGACCGAGAGGGTTGACCGGAGGCGTTGACCGGAGTCGACCGAAGTTGACCGAGGGTCATAGCAGCGTTGATCGGCGTTGACCAAGGCGTTGACCAAGACTTTGACCAAGCTGGAGTTGGTAACATCTCGCCAAGCCCTTAGCCTGCCCCTTGCCCTATGGATGTGCACATACCCCCGGGTACTTGCTGAGTACAGTCTGTCTGTCTATTCTTTCTACATTGAGTCTCTTCTGTCCTAGGTCATAGAACTCTGTGGATGAAGGATAGGGCCTTGCTGCCAAACCTGCACGGGACTTAATAGGACCAATCTCTACTCTGGTATCTGGAGACCTGGGCATGAGCGGCGAGCGCTCGTTAAACAACTCGTCTAGCCCAATGACCGGTACTGTCCGGCAGGTCTGCTCAGTTTCAATGTAGAGGGTCCGAACTCCGAGCTGCAGGCTGAAACGGAGGCCGTCTTTAAGTGTTGAGGGCCTGTTGGAACCACTCCCCTACCGGACCAAGTAAGGCTGATGATCTGTGTCTGACGACTCGACTGTCCCGGAGGTCAAACCCTCCCAAGGACCGGTACAGACCGTCGGGCTGTTCGGTGTGGCACAGTAGGCTGGAAAGGCTGAGTTGTGGGCTGAAAGCACAGGCAGAACCAAGCTGATCACGTCGTCCTGTCTGCGACGTTAAAGAATTCTTGCGGAGTTACGGGGGATCTCCTTAAATGCCTCCTGATCAGCCACTGGTTCAGTAGTGACAGCCATAGCATAGGTCTAGGCTAGAGACCATAGTTGACAGGGTGCATGTCAGGATTTTGTGGGTTCTTAGATTGAGTCTATAGGTTTGTCAGTCAGGGGTTAGAGTCTACGTGGTGAGGAGTGGAATCATCCTGATTGTGCACCTATCACCATGGTTGAGACCCGTACTGGGCTAGAGACTAACCCCTATAGCAAGGAGCAGCAAGAAAAGATGGCCGCCTTAGTCAGAGAGAACAAGGAGAGAAAAGAGCGCGAGAAGCAGGCAAAGCTAAAGGCTATCGCAGACGAGCAGGCGGCGAAGATGAAGAGGTTGGAGGAGGAGATGAAGAGGGTACAACAGGAGGAGGAAGAAAGAAGGAAGGCTGCTGAAGCAGAAGCGGCAGCAGAAGAAGAGAAAGAGAGAATGAGAATTGAGAGTGGAGAAGGGAGCAGTGGTGGCACGATGAAGTGGGAGAGAGATACTGAGCTGGAGAAGAAGATCAGTGAGTGGGTTGCTAATTTATCGTTGGGGGAAGACGAGGAGGCGGAGTCCTATGTGACTGAGGATGAGAAGGCTGCGCTGGCCGCYGAGCTAGCAGCCATGACAGACCCGATGGAACGAAGAGAGAGGGAAGACGAGCAAAAGTTAGTATGGAAGTTGAGAATGAAGAGGGAGAAGAAGAGGAGGAGAGAGGAAGTGAATAAGATGACCGCAGCAGTGGCAAAGGTGCAGGAGTGTAGAGCGGAGGTGCTGGCCCAGCAGATGATAAGGCCAATTGGGACAAAGTACTGGGCTATCTAGAGGTGTTGAGCAAGGCCTGGATAGAGGAGCGCTAGGCAGGATGTAGCGTTGAGTGCCATGCGGTCCGGGTTCAGGGATTTTGCGCGCGAAATCGTCACCCTCATTGGGGGCGAAGTCAAACAGTTGAGGGACAATGGAGGGAAGTTTTGTGAGGGCGCCATTCAGGGTGCCAAAGCTGCAGCCGCTGTAAAAGGAGAGGGCAGACCCCATGAGGACCCAGTGAAACTTAAGTTCCCAGACGCGTACGGGGGAAAGAAGGACGAGAACTTTGACAACTGGGAGGCCAGTGTCAATAGTTACATTTTTTTACAGCATACCCTGATAGAGGAGCAAGTCCTCGTGGCCTTCCAGGCCCTGAAGGATGAAGCGGCTAGCTTCGCCAGGTCTCTCGCGCGTACAGCCGGTTGTGAAAACAACCTGGTTGCATATTCCAAAGTCACTCCTCTTTCCCAATTCCTCAAGCTCCTCAAGGAGCGGTTCGCTGACCCAACACGAGGCATTAGAGCCTCTGATAAGCTTCAAACGATCCACTCCCGGCTGTGGAGGAGTGCCAAGGCACTCAAGGGTACCATGGACGACTTGGTAGCTGTCCCAGACCACGGGGTCACTGAGCCCCAGTTGGTCCAGTTGTTTTATCGTGCCATTCCAGAGGCCCTACGCGGGCATTTCTTTGACAAATGTCAGCAGACCGGCATGACTTACGATGCATTGAGTAGAGAAGTCGTCCTGTATGAGTCGAAGTCTATGCCAGTTACCACTTTCTGGCATAAGGACCTGGAGAAGGGGAAAAAGTGGAAAGATCGTACCATCTCGGGCCAAGTCAAGGCCAAGGATCACTTGATCCTGACATTAGAGGAGGGTGGTACAAAAAAGGTCCTATATGATCAAATTGAGTGGGGCCTAGGGGAGGAGTACAGTAGTGTAGGGCAGAGGAGGTCTTACGCTGCTGTCGCGGCTGGAGGGAGGCCGCAAGGTAGAGGAGGAGGCCAGGGCCAAAGGGGCCAGGGCCAAAGGGGCCAGGCCATGGGAGGCCGAGGACCGGGCGCGCAGGGGGTTGGTGGCCAAGGAAACCGCCAAGCGGGAGGTAGGGGTCAAGGTCCCCCGTCGAATCGCCAAGGTTCATTCCGGTCCCCACATCGAGGAGGTGGAAGGGCACCTCAAGGTGGATGGCACCCAGGCTTGCTGCAGGGCAGGCCCTGGGAAGATTTGGGCTTGGACCAGCGTATATGGCAACAATGCGTGGACCAGGGTCAGTGCGTATTTTGTGGTGACCCGGGGCACGTAATCAAATTTTATCCCAAGTATAGACAGGCCCGTTGGGCTGCCCAGCAGGCAAAAGGCAGCCGCCAGTAGGGGTCGCAACTGCCCCTACTTGCAAAACATGTGGAGAAGTGAGCGCGCGCGAACAGGACACTCCCAACCCACATGAGCCTATGGCAGAGGTTGCAGGCCCGTGCCTAGATAGTTGTCCAGAGACTGTTTGTGTTAGCGTCTCTTTAGGCACGTCCCTCACAGGTGTGGCAGAAGAGTTAAAGGAGAGGATGCCAGCCTGGGCCAAAATGAAAAGGGAGAGTAAGGGACAACTGATTTTGGTAGATGTAGAGGTGTTCAGAAGTAGAGTAGGGGCCCTTATAGACTCAGGGGCTACCCGCAGTTACATTAGCCGTAGGGCGCTGAAGAAGCTGAGGCTGGGACTAAAGGTCCAGACACTAGTAGACCCCATAGTCAGTGTCCTCGCAGACAACCGCACGCACGATGCGCGTTGAGGACTACGTAGAGGGAGTCCAGGCGTACTTTCGCTTAGAGAAGAAGGAAAAAGTGGAGAAGATCCTCCATTCTTTGACTCTCCTCGTGCAGGATGATCTTCCTTTCGATATAGAGTTAGGAATGGATTGGGGAGAGGCAGCAGGGGCCACACTTCATTTGAGAGAGCATGAGTGTAGGCTCCCTAGCACGGCAGGCGAAGTTAAGATTGCCCGCTTGTTCCATGTATCGGGTGTAGACAACACCTTGCCACATTGTTGTCTCAGTGCTCCCTCGTTAACGCGATTGCCAAGCTGCTGGAAGAATTCAAAGACTTGACTGAGTCACCGACAGGAGTAGTGTCGCGACCCATCCAGCATAGGATAGAGATAGAGCCTGGCACTATAACTCCTAAGGGTGCAGTCTATAGGATGTCCCCTAGAGAGTTAGAGGAGCTTCGCAAACAGTTAGACGAACTCCTTGAGAAAGGTTGGATCAGACCCAGTTCGTCTCCTTTTGGAGCACCCGTTTTGTTTGTCCCCAAGAAGGAAGGAGAGTTGAGAATGTGTATAGACTATAGGGGTTTAAATGCGATCACTGTGAAGAATGTTGAGCAGCTGCCCAGGATAGACAATCTCTTAGATCGGGTGCAGGGTTGYAAGTATTTCTCTAAGATAGACTTAAAGTCCGGATACCATCAGATAGAGGTTCATCCTGATGATTAGTACAAGACTGCGTTCTGGACTAGATATGGGCATTATGAGTTTATAGTGATGCCCTTTGGACTAACCAACGCGCTAGCTACTTTTCAGCGTTGCGAGTGGGCCAAGACGCAAGTCTTATACTTGGGCCACGTGTTGGACGGAGATGGCATTAAGCCAGAGGACATCAAGATCGCGGCGATCAGAGATTGGCCGACGCCCCGGACATTGACAGAGTTGCGGTCGTTCCTAGGCTTAGCTAACTACTATAGAAAGTTTGTGAGGAACTTCTCCTCTATCGCCGCTCCCTTGCGCCGATTGTTGAAGAAAGAGGCAATCTGGCAATGGGACAAAGACTGTACGTTTGCGCTCAAGAAGCTAAAGCGCGCGTTAATAGARTATCCTGTCCTCAAAGTTGCAGATCCGTCTTTGCCATTTGTCGTCACCACGGACGCGAGGCAGTATGGGATAGGCGCCGTGTTGCAGCAAGACGACGGCAATGGCTATAGA